GGGGGGGGGGGGGCGGTGAGTTCAGAGTGTCCTGGGAGCTTGTTGAAAATGCCGCTTCCCTGAGCCACCATCACAGACAGCAGTCAGGGCCTGGGGACTGGGCCCAGGAATCTGCACTGGGAAGGAGCTTCCCAGGCGGTCAGGAGGCCGGTGGTCTGCAGGCCATGCCGGGAAACACTGACCAGGGCCACTCTCTTAGCCCTGGTCCCACTCTGGTGCTGGAACTGATGCCCTTGGTGTGGGAGGCGCTGAGCCCCTCAGGACCGGGGGCCTAGTGACCTCCCAGTGTGTGTGTTTGGGGGCGGGAGACATATAACCTTCTCACCTCAAGGATGTGTGGGGCTGGTGTCTTTAGAATAGCCTTCACTCCCAACCACAGACATCCCTGCTGTCTCTCCCTGTGTCTCTACTGCATCTCAGAGCGAGTTCTACATTTAAACATCTCTTAAGGGCTTAAAGCCTCGAAATTAAACAGACAGCTAGTGTAGCCCCATGCCTGGGGTAGCTCCACCCAGGTAAAAGTGGCTGTAAAATTCCACAGCCCTCACGGGCCACCTGCACACTCTCAGGCTCCGCTGCCAGGCTGACACCCTCAGACAGCCGGGTTGTGGACAGGTGCCCTGGGCGGGCGGCATCTCCCAGCTGGTGCCGCCCCCTGCAGCTCAGAGAGCCCGGCAATGGGCATCTCGCCCGACAGGCCCCCTCAGTTCCAGTCCCCTGGGATCTCAGCAGAGGGTGCATTTGCAGCCCCCCTTGGGTGCCCCTGCCTACATTTTGTAACCTGTCCAGAAGGCGCTGCTGGTTTTTGTTGTGTGTTTTCTATCCTCACCTGAGGGCATTTTTTAAACCCACAACCTTTTTGGTGTATATGACAACACTCCAACCAACTGAGCCACCCAGCTGGGTGCTGGTATTCATAGCAGATCAAGACCTGCCTCTAAGGCCTCTCTGCCCCCACGGGCCCACACCCAACACCTAGCTTCTGGGCCCAGACCCAGAGCCGGGCTCCCTTCCAGGGTTTCCTTAAAGCTGTACCTGAGAGAGGAAGCGCGTGAGCATGGCCTGCTGGGTCCCTGCAGAGACCTTGTTTCCATGCCCCCTCAGGAAAGGGGTTCTTGTCCAGGGAAGATCTCCAAGGGCCTGGGGATACCAGCTTGCCTTTGAGGAGGATTGGCACAATGGAAAGTCAGATCTGGGGTGATCTGTCCCATCATCTAGCTTTGCGTCCTTGGGCCGATCACTTACCCTCTCTGCGCCTCATACTTCAGACCCATAAAGGGACTGATGAAACTCACCATAGTAATAACAGCAGCTGACATTACAGAGTCTTGCCATGGCAGGCACTGGGCTGGAAGTTTCCGTGCCTCCTGTAGTCGTCACCACCCTGCAGGGAGTGGACACATCCACCCAGTTTACAGATGAGGAAACCAGAGTCCTGGTGGGCAAAGTCACTTTCCTGAGGCCAAACACTGGAGCCACCCTATTGGTTTGCGTGGAGGTTGGGAGCTGAGGCACAGGAAGTGCTGGGTACAATTGTCCGTAACCAGCTGCTCTAATGCCAGCCCAGGGGGTGGGAGGGTAGGGAAAGCCCTCACCTCCAGGTGGCCTCCTGCTCACAGTGGGAGAGTCCGAGGTGGGTGTCCCTTACCTGTCACCTTTTACCCCCTAAGGCAGGCCTTGCCCTGCAAATCTGCAGGAGGACCGGCCTGTTTGGGAGGCCCAGCCCAGATGCCAGAGCAGTTTGGAACGGAAACTTGTTCCCTTCCCCCTTCTGGCCCAGACTGTCTCCCCTTTTCCTTTCCTGGGGAAATGAGGGTGTGCCTTTCTCTGCCTGGAGAGTGCCAAGCCAGGCAGCACCCCCAGCCCACAGCCGCTGACTCACTCCAGCTGGGTGTGGGGGCCTGGAGGGCAGTGCCCTGTGCCTGGGTGGGTGGGGGCTGTGTGCACCACATGACAGGGTCACCTCCTCCCTCCTGGCTCTGGGACCAGAGGAGGCCTGGGGGCCCTGACCAAAGAGCAGATTCACAGGCTCAGAGCCCTCCTGGGATAAGGCCAGTGACCCAGTGTCTCCCTGGGGCCTCTTGGAAATGGCCCTGCCCCCTTCCCTGGGAGAGTGTCAGAGGGACAGCCTCCCCCTTTCCCTCCTTCCTGGGAAGTTTTCCCAGCCTCTCTGCTTGGGCTTGAACAAAAGGCTCTCTGTGCCCTGTTTACCCGGCCTGCTGCCACCTCTTAGGTGTGAAAGCCAAATCTTCCGGGCC